TGTACAAATGTGCTTTACACAATTGATGTATGTATGGATTGTGATAAGAGTTGTATGAGCCCCTAATAAAACAATTAAAAAAAGAAGTCTGACTTGTGTCCAGTTAGTGCAGCCAAGTAGCGCACCATTTCCACCTAAGACGCTGTGATGTCTTCCCAAGCAGGTAAGAAATATTGCACAAAGGCGGTTCTATACCAACAGCTGCATTTAGCAGCTACAACTGTCAAGAAGCTTAAAGGAACTAAACCTCGAATTTAATTATGTTTACTTCTAAGATCTTTACTTCATTTATCCAATGCCATGTGATAAGCAGTATTAATGATTACTCCTTTCCTCTTTCCAAGAAACATGCATACGGCTACATCCTGGATTATTTAGGCTGGAATACAGGTGTGTTTTCCTAAAGTTGCAATGATTGGTTTTTTAAACTTTTTTGTTGACCTATGGGGCAGTTATAGCCTACTTTTTTTTTTTTTCAGTCTCTAGATTTCTTGGAAAGCTCCTATCCCAGTTGTAGTTTGTGCTACCCCCTAGCAGGGACCTGTATCACTACGTGAAACAAGATATAGGCCTCACCCCACTGGTCCTACCACAAGTCTACTTGGGACATTTGTGTCCCACATGGTTGTATGGAAATCCATATTCTGATTTTTTGTTGTTTTTTTCTTGATTTCAGCATGCCTTCCGTTACTGAAACCAACCACGTGGTATCAACAAAAAAATTCAAAGATGACAACAGGTTGGTCATGAAAAAAAACACCAAAATGGCTCACGGAGGAAAGTGCCTAAAAACTGAAAACTGTTTATGTGTTGTAGATAAGCTGAAAAGGAAGGAGGAAAAGTGAAAAATGCTAATGAGGAGGAAATGGAATCCAAAGGAGAATTTTTGAACTTTCTCCTGTGAGGTGAAGTTCTTATGATTAACATGATAATGAAATTTGGGAACGGGGTGGGGGGGGGGGGCCTTTGGTCTTAGACAGAATAATCCTTAATTAGGATATCAACAAAAAATATAAGTAGAGTTCACGTACCTGTCTTTAACACTTGTATTTAAACATTTCAAGCTTTGTTTTCCCTTTTATACAAACATTTGAAACAGATAAAATTCCTTTGAAAGATGGAAGATACTTGTGGTAGTTAACATAATCTGGTGTCAATTTGAGGATTAAGAGTGTAGGGGTAGAGTCGAGGCTGTCAGGATATAGCCAATGAGGCCTCTGTGTGGTCATGACCTTCCCCTAAGGATTCTGGGAATTCCTGAAATTTCCTCCTTGGAGACAGGAGAGACTCTCCCTACTCACTACCTTGGAGACTCTTCTGACAAGGCTGACTCCTTGTAAGAAATCCCTAAGGAGAAGCCAATTGAACCTACCTGTTGGGTCAGGCATCAGTGGGAGGACATTAGAAAAAGCCTGCCTGCCCATCCCTGACCAAGAAGGCTAACTTCAAAGGGCTCCAGATCAATGATCCAACTTCCTTGCCCCAGGCAGACCAATCAAGGAACCACCCTACCTCAGAATTGTTATGGATGGAGGCAGTTTAGAGCCCCACAGCTGCAGCTCCTTACCCCTTCTTCCTTGTTTGCCTGCCTATGGCTTCTAACCTCTCTCTTTATTGTTTTACCCTCCCCTCCTGACCAGCTTTAAACTCATTCTCCACCCCAGATAAGTGCCACTTCTTGGGTCCCCCTCAGGGGGCAGTGGGGCTCACTGGGGAGTACAGGTTCCCTTCTCTCATTTCCTCTCTGCTCCTGCCTCCCTCCAGGGCAGCCAGACTTCATGGACTCCCTGCTGGAGTCCTGAATCTTGCCCAGAAGCAGAGTAACCAACTCCTTTTCTTTCTCTCTGGCCTGGCCTCCCTTTATCTTTGCTGCAAACTTAAACTTAATACTACCCTGATGTAGCCCTGGGGGCTGGAGAAGACACGTGGAGACCCCTGCCAGCACTTAGATGCTTACAATATGTCTGGATTTACAAGACTTCCCACCCAGTGGCCTGTGATCTTCCTGCATTCACGTCATTGCATTTGTTTCATGAGTGAATCGGAAGAGAACTTTATAGATTGCTTTGGACATATGGGCTAATATTGGATTTGTGGACTTAATCTGGACTGGGCTGGGATGTTTCTTAATGGGCAATTACCCTTTATATAAAACTCTCTCTTACACACATGTTTCTATGGGTTCGTTTCTCTAGTCTAGGCAGACTAACACAGTAGTAGTGTATCCTTAAAGTTCAAGGGTGTTTTAATATTGATAGAATACTAGGCTGCAAAAAAAAAAAAAAGAATACTAGGCTGCAAGTTGAAAATGAGTAAATTCCATTTATAATTTTTACTAAATTGTTAAACAGAAATGTTCCAGACTATTCAGTTACAGTGTTTCATAGTTTAATTTTGCATTGCAGCTTGAATTATAAACTGATTGGTGTGTGGTAGGTTTCCTTGTACAGCAGGAACCCTATCTCCATGTTGAGTTCTGCATGTTACCTCCTCAATGCTTGTAGACCCTTAAGCCATCGATGTGGTTACATTTAGCCAAGTGTGGGATAAGCCCAGGTAGTGACAATTTGCCCTCAGGAAGAGTGTGATTAAAAGGAGATCATGCAAAGAGATCCCCTTGCCATTTCATCACAGAAGGGTCACAAGGAAGGGATGGATCAATCAGGGCTCCTTACAGCACCTTTGAAGCATACAATATTCCTGTGGTTCTTTGAGGCCTCCTCACCCCCCACTATCATGACCCCAGTCCTTGGTTCCAGTTCTGCTAGACCAGAGCATGTACACTGGTACAGATAAGAGTTCACAACACACAGAATCCAGGTCAGATAAACCCCTCAGGAACAGAAGTGGGAATAGCAATACCAGGAGG